AGTGCCCTGCCAAACTCTTTACAAGATAGAGATGAGATATTATATCCCCAATTATGATTTTTACTGTCATCTATTATCACATAAAACATCACCAGAAATATATATATATATAAACAAAAAAGGGAAATTATAAAAATGAAACCTATTTTTGAACCAACAAGATTGAATTTGAATGACAATTAAACAGTTTTAATATTTTTCAGTGTAGCATTTGTTACAGTGCCTTTAATTATATATATATATGCTTCTCCAAACAAAGCTTTAGCCTTTACTAGACACACTAGGCGAATACTACGACACTGTATTTTTTCTTTTCTTTTTGAAACACGTAATGAGATAAAGTTTGGCTATTTTTATTTAAATAGGACATTAGGTGGACCTGATGTATTTCGGAGGCCCCATAGGAAGCTCTTGCTGTGGTCCAACCCTCTAGAATTTTTCCACCAGCCTCTACTCTGAAAAAGCTGTTTACACACTCCAGCAGAGTTAAAGAACATTAGTTCGCAGCTCAGCTAGCCAATCAGAAGCTGTCGCAGTGGTGCGCATCTTCCTCACGGCCAATCGTAATCCCAGAGGGCGGGGTCTACACCTTCTCTTGAACAGCTGCAGAACAAGTTTCCTTGTTTGTTCCTTTGTCTGTCCCAACTGAGGAAACCTCAAGGCTGATGAGTCTAGTCTCGTGTTGTTCTTCAACTTTATCTGTCCTTGCAGCATGTTGAATCAAAAGATAATTCTGAGGAAACCGCATCAGTGTGGATTAAAACTGACCAAGTAGATTTTTTTATTTTAATTTTTCAAAGTAGGGTACATTCTGCTCTATAGTTTTTTTGTTGTTGTTAATAGACCAAATAAATGTAAATAAAAATGATTAATAGCAAAAGTAACCTTTGGTTCAGTTCCAGTTTTTAGAGTAGGCTCTGGGGAAAGTGAAATATTTGGTGCCGACTTTGTTCACTCCCTAGAGGATGTTTTCTCAAAGCTATTTGCTTTTTCCCACAAAAAGTTGATTGCACATTGCACATTTCTGCTTTGCGAAAATATTTTTAAATGAGCTTCCTCCAGGTTCTTGGAAGAAACAGTGTGCAGCTAAAAGTATGAGATGGTGGAAACAGAGTAACACGTTAGTAGGACCCAGCTGTGAAATGCCTGAGAAAGACACGAGTTAAATAAATCACTTTCATCTATCAAAATCACAGTGTTCATCTCTATTATTCCCCCAAAAGTGCTCTGTGCTATTTATTTTATTACAAAGGTTTAATGTCAAGAATTTAGAAAATGAACATTTACATGCATACGAGCTACCGTGATTTAAAAATATATATATATTTTAAGTAAGAGTGAACATGGCTACCTTGGCATGTCCTAATATCACATGCTTCTTTTCTGGTTGCTCCATCGGACCCGGAGACATAGCACCAGGGCTTCTCTGAACCATCTGGGTTGCGGCAGAAATTGTGATCTCCAACATCTGGCAAGAAGAAATCAAAATGATGAACCTTTAAAATTTGATTTAATGGATTCTTAATATTTTTGAACTAAACATTTTTTTGGTTTGTTTGTGTGAGCATGTGTTTTTGAGTTGTAGTGAGTGTGTCCCACATGCACATCCCCAGAAATGTCCTCGTCTGGATTATGGAAGAGTGATTGCTCAGCTTTATGAGTTGGGCTCATGATATCATCTGGGCAGCAAGCCCATGTCATACATAACCATAATTTACTAAATCTATAATCAGCAACATTGACAGTTTGCAAACTGCATGCTTACGTGGTGGCCAGGGGTGGCCCCGCCCCCCCCCCGAGAAATTTGGCTGGCCACCCCAGGTGCCCCCCCTACCAAATGTCTTGCCATAGGCTTGTTTTTAGAAAATGTAAAATTTTAGGCGGTTTCTATAGTGTGATCTTAATGACAATGTCGAGAGCGCATAATGTTACGCGATCCATGTGCGCGAGGACGAATCTCTCCACTACCAAGCGGATTTCCTTCGCTCACACAAAACTGAACGTGTGCTTTTAACATACATCGTTCCGCAAACACACCCCCCCCCTCTTTTGTGTGCTTTCACCGTGGACGAAGCGGAGTCCAGCCCGGGGTCGTCACATGAGGCCTACTGGCCGCCGCTCACTTAAGCTCAAACATATGGTAAGGGGCGTAACATTTCCGTCACACGCTTGAGGAATTCGGCCAATCACAACGCGCTGGATAGATGGCCAATCACAGCACACCTCGTTTTTCAGACCGATGAGCTTTGTAAAAATTGACACGTTTCAGAAAGGCGGGGCATAGAGGAGAAACAATAATATACAGTATGTGGAAAATAATGTGTTTTTTGAACCTTAAACCGCATAAACACATCTCATTACACCAAATAAATTCATTACAACAAAATAATGTTCTTTTTAGCAGCATCATATGACCTTTAAGCGCCCATAATACAATATTTAATAATATTTCAATTATTAAACAGTGTGACAAAACGTTGTAAAAATATCTCCCTTAATATATTTAAAACAGTAATATTAAAAGATCAAATTCAGTAATCACCATATTAATGATGCACAGTTTACATATGCAAGCAGATGTGGTTTTCGATGGGAAACCATTTAATGTGAAACTTTGCACATTGTGTTTATGGGGAAGTCGTGGCCTAATGGTTAGAGAGTCGGACTCGTAACCCGTGCTCCGGGTGTGTGTTCACGGTGTGTGTGTTCACTGCTGTGTGTGTGTTGAAAACATAATTATTTTAGAAATTTAGAAATGTATTTAAAAAGTAATCAAATTTAATCAGTTAAGCCTATTACATTTCCAAAGTAACCTTCCCAACACTAGTATCAAGAATATTATTACTTAGTCTATCCATCTAGTATCTATCGGTCCATCCGTCCATCCATATATATATCCATCTATCCATTTATTTTTAAAATGCTAGTATAAGTTGCTATTACATAATTATGTATTATAAGTTTAAAAACTATTATACATTTTATATACCAGAATTCATACATTAGAATTTATCGAACTGTATGATTATTATTATTATATAATTATCATGATGCTTATTAGTTATATTATTGCTAATTATATATTTTTCATTATGCCATCTATGAAAATTATTATCTGTTTTGATTTTGTTTTCAGATGACACAACCTGGCCTCTTTATGAGACACAATTGCTTGGTTTGGCGAATTACAATTTAAAGAAAATTCATATAATTAGCATATTTTCTGATGAAAGCTATGTGACTGAATGAGCTTCCATGCAACATGGGTTTGCAAAAGGAATGAAACGGGCCAAACCCTGCACACAAATTCATCATCACAGCACAACCGATTCACTCCCGTCATCCATTCTTGTTCAGCAAATCTGACAGAGCAGAACTTCATTAGGAGATCAAGGAACAATGAGTGCCTCTATTATTTACAAGGAAACAGAGGGTCCCCTGAGGAGACACTATTAAAAGGAGGAAAACGCGTGGTTGATTAGTGATGTGACACAATCGGTGTAAGCTGTTCAGCTCTGAAACAGCTGTCATCTCTGGTTTGTTCATAGTCATGCTCTTTTTGTCGGTTTCTCAGTGGTGCATTCCGGACATCTCTATACTGACATTCCCCTTTGTTTTAAGTGCATTGGCTTTGTTAAGTACAGTGCATACAGTGGGTACGGAAAGTAATTTAAGGGGGTCTGAATACTTTCCGTACCCACTGTAACTATTGTAACTATCTGTTTTGGACAGTTCAGCACAGTGTCACATTTTCTGCTTAAAATGACAGTTCACCATTAATCCCTAGGTGCCATCTCTTGATATTTTGGAAATTATGGTTTTCATGACATGTTTGAAGCATGGAAGCAAGCAATCAGCTTTAATGAGACCAGATTGCCTGCTTCCTTCCCATGACACTGCTGCCAGGTTAACTGACCCACTTTAATTTTCCAAGAAATTACACAAAGTTTCCAACCCCTGTCGAGTTGGCAGCGTTTTTTGTGAGTTGTGCACCCAGGCAGATGAGTGGGAGAGAGCTCAGGCATTCATAGACTACAGCGTTTCTTTGTTTTAAAGTTCGTTGATTATGTCATTGCTGTTTTTGACACCCAGCTATTACTCCTGTTTGTTCCACGGATTCTACCGGTTATGAAATGCTGTTTGACTGGTTTGTTTAAAAAGTGTCATTTGGAGAGAAAAAAAGTGAACACATACTGAAAGCTTTTGGAATACAACACACATGCATAGTCATAAACAATATAGTGAATACACATGATAAAAACATCCTATTTAATTCAAGATGGAACCAAGGAATTAATAGAGAAACAGAAATAGCTGTTAAAATTCAGAAGTTACGAGCTCTTGTTAAAAAAAAAAAAAAGGCAAATCAAGTAAAAAGACTAATTTTCTCCAGATGCTTTTCTCATAATAAATACTAAAACATTATTTTAAATATTTCTAAAATTAACATAAAATGTTATATTACATTTATCAAAGTAGTTTTTTTCTTCTTCAGATTTTATACATTTTGAAATTACACCCGGACAAGAAATGTCCTCTAGACTCTAAAATAATCAATATGTCATTTGTAACAAAATTGCAGTGTTCATAGAGGAGTGCGAATCATTTCAGCGTCTGCTGTAAACTCAGACCATCTGCTCCACTGATGGCTACTGGGATACCCAGCTGCGTCCCTAACACAGTGTCCTGTGACGCGCAGGAGCATTGCACAGCAACTGAGTACATATTCCAACCATGAATCATGAACTAGCCTTGTTCTGAGAGCAGAAAATGGACACTTAACCTGGGAGAACAGCCTCTAATGTGGCATAAAGCAGACACTATTCCCCTGCTGTTATCATAGGGCAACTCTACTGTTGCCGCAAAAGCCATTACATCACTGTTTGATGCATTTACCCCTGCAGTGGAAACCTGAGTAGAAGTGGTTTACGCAAAGACACAATGAGGATGAGAAAGGGGTACAGAGTGAGAAAGAAAAAGGATAAAATTATTTTAAAAAAAAAGGATCAAGACAGAATGAATCACAGGAAAAGAGTGAGTTAATTGTGGCTGCTGTGTGTGTATCAGAAGATGCTTCAAGGTTGGTGTGAGGCAGCTCAAACCGGTTTTGTGAAGTGTTATCACAGCGAACCATGAGCCACCACTCCACATAAAACCAATGAGCTTCTGAGAAAAAGCAGCACTTCATTTTCTAAAGGGAACAGAATACTGAATGTTTGTTACTGGTATCACAGATCAGGTTTAGCCCAAAAATTCTACAAATGATTCAGTCTTTATTTAATTATCAATATACAAGCATGAATCTTATTCGGTTCCAAAGAGAGATTTGGCTAAAAATATATGTACCATCCTCAGACGCTTGCTGAGTCTTTGTGACGCCTCAGTCTGTTTGTCCCCGCCTGCAGTGCGCTCTATTTCAGAAATCACCACCCATCCAGAAACAATGGCATCTTTCAGCCCGTTTCAGATTTAGACGTGCTACACTTACAGAGCTGGAAGTGGTGTTTGATTCTGGCTGGTGACGTAGATACGTTTTCTATTTCTCTCTCTTGTATTGCACAACAAAGGACTGGTATTCTTCCTTTCGAATAGTTTCCACTCAATATGGCGATGAACAGCAACAACGTAACCCTGATCTGTGACAGCCCTGGATTAATCTGTCCTTAGTGCATCAATGAAGACCTGAGGAAGGAAGAGTCCATTTAGGACAAACCGTCTATGAATGTCCTGAAGGTTTTTAGATGAACTGAAAGGGTCAAGTAGGGGTCGTATGGAATCACACTCCTTGAGCAGCTGGAGTAGTACAATCACCCTAGTGAACAGGCCTGAAAGAGCGCCATGGAAACGGGGTTCTATTAGCAAACTCAGCCAATCAGGATTCAGGACATCACCTAGACAACAAATGAGAGATATAATGACATAATTGGCACATAAACATACAACAACTACATGCAAAACTATAAAGAAATATTACAGTTCATGTTAATTAGAATTATAAGGTTTTTGATTCAATTATAAAGGTACATCAGGAAGTTAATTAGTTATAATTAATGTGATAATAAAGAAAAACAGTTATTATGGAGCTCTTATATACCTAATTGTAGCTGCATACAAATTGTGAGATTCTCTTTGATAATGGCTGCACTGTTTTGGGCCCAGCGCTCCAGGTTCTTGGCGAGAGTGGAGGATTTTGGGTAATGTTTAACCAGATTCAATAGGTGTGGCAACAGGCACTCTGAGATCACAGATGGCTCTGCAAAAACATTTGCTTCATCTCGCTCATACAGACTGCGACATCTGACCGACATAAGAAAACAACAACCGACATTGTAAGAGACAGAAGAAAACAGAATGGTTGCATGCAAAAGATATAAAGATTAAAGCCTATATAACATTTGTAAAATCTACACTACCATTCAAAAGTTTGGGGTCGGTAAGATTTGTTAAATGTTGTTAAAAGAAGTCTCTTATGCTCACCAAGGCTGCAGTTACTTTTTTAAAAATACAGTAAAAACAACAATACTGTGAAATATTATTGAAATGTAAAATAACAGCTTTCTATTTTAAAATGCAATTTATTCCTGTAATGGCAACACTGAATTTTCAGTAGCCATTACTCCAGTCTCCAGTGTCACATGATCTTTAAGAAATCATTCAAGAAATCATTTAAGGTCACCTTACAGGCACTTTTGATTACATTAAATGCAACCATGCTGAGTAAACATTATACATTTCTTTTTATGCCGACCCCAAAGTTTTAAAACTCTAAAACTGAATGTTATCTTAAAACAAAGTAAAACTATGATTATAGTAATACAAAAAAAAAAAACATCTAATGCTACATAGTGTTCAAATAATTTACTTTTTTTTCTATAATAATATGCGCAAAAAACAAGTTAACGATTGGCTTGAATTATTGTCATTTCTGTATGTGGATTGACGTACTGCGTCTCTTTGGCCTCCTTCAGTACAGCATTCAGATCACAGTCAGGTAAGTGGCACACTAAGGCCTCCAAAGCACAACTTGCGTCCCAGAATTCCTCTAAGAGCAGGTCGAGCATTGAGCGCAAAGCCCGGTTCACCTGCATGTAGAAGCATTTCTGTGGATCTTCCGGCTGTCGGACAGAACAGCAGAGCAGAGAGGCAAAGACAGCCGCCTTCGCTCTCACCTGTGGACTCTCATCCTGAAGCAGGTAGATACCCGTGCTGATCAAGCTTCAAAAAACAGAGGGATGGAAATTTAGGGTTACACTTTACTTGAAGGGGTGTGCATAAGACTGACATGACACCTTCATAATCATGACATGACACCTACATAATCATGACATGACACATGTCATGAATATGAAGGGTTTTTTATGCATGTTTATGACAACTGTCATTAAGTGTCATTTGCTCAGTTATGTAATTTTTAATGCAAAGATGACATTGTTTGAGTTGTCTTTGTTATGGGATATGGTTAGGGGTAAGGGTAATGTCATATTTGCATTAAAAATGACATAACTGAGCGAATGACACTTAACAACAGTTGTCATAAACATGCATAAAACCTCCTTCATATTCATGACATGTGTCATGTCATGATTATGAAGGTGTCATGTCAGTCTTATGCACACCCCTTCAAGTAAAGTGTTACCAAATGTAGTTATACATCAAATACTTCCTGCATAATAATCATCAAACAGCAAGAGGAAGAAACAATTCATCTGCAAATCTAACCAGACAGAAATATAAAACATCCTGACAGTGCACTATGTATTTTGTTTCTAGTCCTTCCCTGTCTAGCTCACTGCCCAAACTAATTGAGTTATCAAGCACACCTCTTTATTATACCTGGTACTGAGCTCTTTGAGCGTGAGGCCTCCTGTCAGGCTCCTGGTCACTACGTGGACCCCACACAGACACAGAGCCTGTGCACATGCTGCTCTGAGGGCCTCAGGAGCTTCAGGACATCTGTGCTTCTTTAATAACTTACACCAGCGCTGGAGCAAAGACAAGTCCACACTGAGAGAACAGACAGGCAAACAGAGTAAAGAGTTTGAGCACCGGTAAATCCATTGGCCATATACCAAGACTTTCCGATTTCTCAGAAACATCAGTTAAGTTGACATAAAACAGCACACACAACTCATTTTAGTTACATAATGTGTTGTCTTTCTGAGTGGAACAAAAATATTATGCAAGAAAAAAAAAAAGAGAGAAATCTAGAACTGACTGAAGCAGGGCCCTGACTGTGGGGTCTACTCTCTTTCGAAAACACTCTTTTTTTAAAGAAATGTATAGTTTTATTCAACAAGGATGCATTAAATCCTTCTATTCATAAAAACATATGGAAAAATATAGAAATACAGTAAAACATGCATCGGCATTTTCACAGAAAATATTAAATACAAACAAATATAAAGAACATGAAGAATATCTAATAACGTCAAGCTAAACACATTAAGATTTGGCTGCATGACAGGTGAGTTTACCTGTGACAAAGGAGCAGGCTGACTGCACACAGAGCCGTGGAGATCAGCACAGGTCCACCTCTATCTGACTCCAGATCAGTAAACAGAACCTCCACACACTCCTGCAGCCATGTCTCCTCGAACCCTGAAAGACAGGGACGGGGCAGAGCAAGACTGTCTTCCTCAGGGGTCATAACCTCAACTAATGCGGTCAAGAATGCTCCTCTGTACTCCAGGTTCTGGTCCAACAGTGCCTTCTTCAGGTTGGCCTGCAGGGGATAGACAGATAGACTGTTATTCGAATAGACCCTTTCCAGACATTCCCAAAAAAAAATCTTGCAATCATGATCTTTTAGTTCTTATGAGAAGGGAATTAAAAGCATTATAAGATTGTGGTATATTTAATTTCTCATGACATGTAGAGCAGTTTGGAGTTTCACTGACCTCACATGAGGGCTGGGCGGAAATCCTGGCTGAGCACAAACCCAGTGTGTTTTTAAAGATTACTGAATACAATGACTAACATGCCCCCCGGGCCCTCACAAGGGGTGTGCATAAGACTGGCATGACACCTTCATAATCATGACATGACACCTACATAATCATGACATGACACATGTCATGAATATGAAGGGTTTTTTATGCATGTTTATGACAACTGTCATTAAGTGTCATTCGCTCAGTTATGTAATTTTTAATGCAAAGATGACATTGTTTGAGTTGTCTTTGTTATGGGATATGGTTAGGGGTAAGGGTAATGTCATATTTGCATTAAAAATGACATAACTGAGCGAATGACACTTAACAACAGTTGTCATAAACATGCATAAAACCTCCTTCATATTCATGACATGTGTCATGTCATGATTATGAAGGTGTCATGTCAGTCTTATGCACACCCCTTCAAGTAAAGTGTTACCAAATGTAGTTATACATCAAATACTTCCTGCATAATAATCATCAAACAGCAAGAGGAAGAAACAATTCATCTGCAAATCTAACCAGACAGAAATATAAAACATCCTGACAGTGCACTATGTATTTTGTTTCTAGTCCTTCCCTGTCTAGCTCACTGCCCAAACTAATTGAGTTATCAAGCACACCTCTTTATTATACCTGGTACTGAGCTCTTTGAGCGTGAGGCCTCCTGTCAGGCTCCTGGTCACTACGTGGACCCCACACAGACACAGAGCCTGTGCACATGCTGCTCTGAGGGCCTCAGGAGCTTCAGGACATCTGTGCTTCTTTAATAACTTACACCAGCGCTGGAGCAAAGACAAGTCCACACTGAGAGAACAGACAGGCAAACAGAGTAAAGAGTTTGAGCACCGGTAAATCCATTGGCCATATACCAAGACTTTCCGATTTCTCAGAAACATCAGTTAAGTTGACATAAAACAGCACACACAACTCATTTTAGTTACATAATGTGTTGTCTTTCTGAGTGGAACAAAAATATTATGCAAGAAAAAAAAAAAGAGAGAAATCTAGAACTGACTGAAGCAGGGCCCTGACTGTGGGGTCTACTCTCTTTCGAAAACACTCTTTTTTTAAAGAAATTGATCGTTTTATTCAACAAGGATGCATTAAATCCTTCTATTCATAAAAACATATGGAAAAATATAGAAATCCAGTAATTACATGCATCTGCATTTTCACAGAAAATATTAAATACAAACAAATATAAAGAACATGAAGAATATCTAATAACGTCAAGCTAAACACATTAAGATTTGGCTGCATGACAGGTGAGTTTACCTGTGACAAAGGAGCAGGCTGACTGCACACAGAGCCGTGGAGATCAGCACAGGTCCTCCTCTATCTGACTCCAGATCAGTAAACAGAACCTCCACACACTCCTGCAGCCATGTCTCCTCGAACCCTGAAAGACAGGGACGGGGCAGAGCAAGACGGTCTTCCTCAGGGGTCATAACCTCAACTAATGCGGTCAAGAATGCTCCTCTGTACTCCAGGTTCTGGTCCAACAGTGCCTTCTTCAGGTTGGCCTGCAGGGGATAGACAGATAGACTGTTATTCGAATAGACCCTTTCCAGACATTCCCAAAAAAAAATCTTGCAATCATGATCTTTTAGTTCTTATGAGAAGGGAATTAAAAGCATTATAAGATTGTGGTATATTTAATTTCTCATGACATGTAGAGCAGTTTGGAGTTTCACTGACCTCACATGAGGGCTGGGCGGAAATCCTGGCTGAGCACAAACCCAGTGTGTTTTTAAAGATTACTGAATACAATGACTAACATGCCCCCCGGGCCCTCACACGACAACACGAAGATCTACAGGCTGATTTCAGGGCAGTGTATAAAATGGATCTTGATTGTTTTAATTTCCTTCAGTTGTATTTGGTTGACATTTGCGAACGGCTCAAATTACCAGCCTATGATATTTGTGAAAAGTGAAGCTTTAGCAGTAGTTCTAGAAACAAACACTTGCAATTTTAAAACGTTAAATCAATTGTAAAAAAAAAAATGAATGCATGTTTTCATGCCTGAGCAGCACAGAATGAGTAAAGTGGCATTAACAGAAGCGTTCGTAAACAACCAGATGGACCACCGATTAACAAAATGTCTCAAGATGCATTTTTTAAAATGTGAAGGTTTTTAATTTGATACATTTTAAACAGCGCACCACTTATTGGCAGCAAGGCATGATGCAGCGGCCAAAGATGTCCATCTACCTCACTTTATGTACAAATAAGCTAGATGGATGTTTTTGGCCACTGGACTATGTCTTGCTGAAACAGAACACAAGAACATGCCCAGAGTCGACCTCAGCGATATTTAGAAAATATTTACATGTATATATTTATATTCATATAATTTATATTATATATAAATATATTTAAAATATAAACATAACTTATTTTAAAAAAAAATATATTTCTGAATGTGCGTATTTATATATACATAATAAATATACACAGTACACACACATATATTATGAAAACAAAAACTTTTATTTTGGATGCGATTAATCGCGATTAATTGTTTGACCGCACTAAATATAATAATATAATATAATATAATATAATACGTTTTATATATCATATGATCGTATAGTGGTATATGATATTATATATCATACTATTATATGATTTAAAAATAAAAATCTAAATATACATTATATTACATATTATATGGTATTAAAATTCTAATTATATTCAAATCTGGAAAATAATACAATACAACACAACACAATAACAAAATTATATAATACAACAATAATAATATAATATACATTAAGATTTTTAGTTTAAAATCATATAATTTTATATTATATAAAAATCTAAACACGGAACATAATACATTATAATGCAATGTAATATAATATAATAAACATAACTTTATACAAAATTGTAGATATTTAAATCAGGCAAATAATATAATAAAATACTATGTAATGTAATATACAATATAATAGATTTATGTTCATGTATTTGGATGTATGCACCATCATACCGTGTCTGTTCCTCAGCACCAGGCTGTAGTTTGGCGAGCAGGGTGAGGACAGGGTAGAGGGAAGGGTGCAGGAGAAGGGTGGCATCATGAAGGTCTGTAGCTGCGCTTTCCAGCGCCCCCTGGAGGAAGGGCTGTAGGGCTGGGTAGAGGTTAAAGAAGGAAGGAGAAGACATGCCGGAATGAGCGGAGCCCTCTTCACCGGTAGGCCGCTGACCCAACATTCTGGTGCACAGAGAACCTACGAGAAGTGAAAGGTCAACATGTGTGACTAATTCACAAGGGTTGAAATTAGAATAATTGTGAGCATGACCGGTTCGTACTGTAGAGCTGCAGGGCTGCGTTCCTCATAGCCCAGCATGGTGAGCTGAGGAGTGTGAGTGACAGAACGGCCACCACAGGGGTGTACTGCAGAACAGCTACACCCAGACTGGAGCCCTTCACCAGAGCTTGAAGGGTGTGAACGGCACACACCTGTGAGAGATCAGGGGACAGACATCTTTTACGAACATAGCTACTTTGTTCCTTAACATTTGTTTGATCCAGCAAAACTGTAGATTTATTTAATAGGAAGATCATTGACTCTACCTGTGGTAAGTCGAGAGTTTGGTCCCAGTCCTGGGGAAGAGGTGCTTTGGCTGTGTCCAGTAGGGTGTTAATGGTTTGTGCCAAAAGGGGGCGAGTCTTGCTAGAGTCCTCAGCAGCTAAGACACCCAAAATCAGCATGGGCAGACCGGCAGCACGCCTTGTTACTGAGGTACTACGGGGCGACTGGAGAACAGAAAGGCCCTAGAGGGAGAGAGAGAGCATTATATGATTTTTTTATAAAATAAAATAAAAATGATTTAATGGCTACTTAAAGAGATAGTTCACTCAAAAATTTTAATTCTATCAAAATGACTCCAAAACCGGTAGACCTTCATTCATATTCGGAACACAATTTAAGATATTTTTGATGAAATCCGAGACCCTACATAGACAGCAATGGAACTACCACGTTCAAGGCTCAGAAACATAGTAAAGACATCGTTAAAATAGTCCATGTGACATCAGAGGTTCAACCGTAATTTTATGAAGCTATGAGAAGAACACAAAAATAACTTTATTCAACAATTTATTCTCTTCCGTGTCAGATTTCAATGCGTGCCCAAAACAGTACCACGACGCATGCGTGTGCATTCCTCTTCTTGTAAACAAGTTATTTTTGTTTTCTTTGCACACAAAAAGTATTCTCGTGGCTTTATAAAATTATGGCTGAATGTCACATGGAATATTTTAACAATGTCCTAACTACCTTTCTGGGTCTTGAACGTGTCAGATGCGTTGCTGTCTATGCACGGTCAGAATAAAGCTCTCGGATTCCATCAAAAATATCCTAATTTGTGTTCCGAAGATGAACAGAGGTCTCGCGGGACTCATGTTATGTTTGGAATAACATGAGGCTGAGTAATTAATGACAGAATTTTCATTTTTGTGTGAACTTTTCATTTAAATAAACACAGGTCATTTAACTCGGAATTGACATTTCTATTAGAATCCCATGAATCTCTAGTTGAGAATGAATGCTTTACTCTATTCTACCTGTTTTAATATGAGAGGTGGGATCTCTCTGATTTCTGGATCAGAGCTGCTCAGTAGAGCCCTGCAGAACTTAGTAAAGCCAATACAGCAGCCCTCTACTGCCCCCTAATGGAAGATGAGAGAAAAAGAGAGAACAGGACCACAAACATAAGATGTTACTGTGAAACAAAGTGGAGGGAAAAACTGTTCGGACATCAGTGTGAAAAGAGCAAAACTGTCTTACCCAGTGTCTACATTTCAGAATGATGTCTTTAAATACTTTGGAAGCCTTCCTGAGTTCTTCCACACTCAAAGTCAGGTCTTTACAGTGCAGTGACAGGATTCTCTCCACCAGGGAGCCCAGAAAAATACCAATTTCCTACCGGGAAAGTAGATCATCCATATTTTAGTCATACATAATACTTTTTGTAAACCACAGTTTAAAATGTAGGCTGATGCTCTGTCATCCTTCTAGCAGCTTTACCTTCAAGGAAACCCAGCAGCAGGTCAGCACTAGACTATGTTCCTCAGAGAGCAGCACATTCTCCTCTCCATCCTCATCAAGTCCCGCCCCCTCAACCCCACCCTGACCAATCAGAGAACTGATTGCATTCCCCATGTCACAGAATGATGGAGGCACATCTGTGACAAAAAGAAAAGTATATTCTTATAAGAGAATCTCTTCAGACATATTGTTTACATCTGCAGTTTCAGGCAGTGTACCTTTCTCCTGTGTGTCCTGGTCCCCGTACAGCACACCTAACAGCAGTAGAGTGAGCTTTTCTATTAAAGACACAATGTCTCCTGCAACACTGTGGGTTATTGACTCCGCTAGGACCCCTGGCACCTCCAGCAAGCCCCTCTGCAGAGCACTTACAACACCTGAATTAATAAAACACACTCTATTTGTGGATTATTACAGCATATTTTCAGATATATTAGTAGTGAAACCTCCACTTAGTGGTAAACAATTGTAGCAAGATCTATAAACTCAGCTCAGTTTTATACCATGAATAGGCGTTGTACGGGCTGCAAGCAGCATGTCATTCCTGGCAGTGAGATAATGGTACTCCAGTTTGGTGAGAAGAAACGCGATCAATTTAACTGACTGTTTCTCCTCCCCATGTTCAAATGCCCCATCCACCCTATGACACAGAAATGCACACACACACACACACACACACGTGCACACAAGAAAATATTGTTCTCATAAAAACGAGGACCCAACACATTTAAAATAAATTCAAATTAAATTACCCCCAGGCACAAACTCTGCTTTTATGAATTAAAACTTTAATACATCAAGGATTAGATTGATCAAAAGAGGCAAAAGTGACATAAGTGAAAGACTGTTTTAAATAAATGCTGTGTTTTTGAACTTTTTATTTATCAAAGAATCCTGGAAGTTTGCATGGAAATTCAGCTTTGTCATCATAGGAATATTTTACATTTTAAAATATATAGCAAAATAGAAAACAGTTATTTTAAAATTGTAATTATATTTCACAATATTATTGTTTTTACTGTAATATCAAACTTTTGAATAGCAGTGTATGTGTATCCTTTCACACTTCAAGACTAAAAGAGACAAAAGCGATGTTTGCTCACTTGTGCAGTAGAAGTTTGATCATCAGTGCTCCCATCTGGGCCTCCTGGACCCGTGGGCTGTGGAGCAGCCTTTCTGCCCTCCTCAACAACACAGCTGTGATATCATCCGGGAGAGACGAGGGGAAAAATCTGAGAAGCAGCTCTGCAGACAGTTCACGGATCTACAGCACAGGGACAACATATGCCAGGCAAATACATCACATTACAGACAACTGGGGCAAGGGTTTCAACAGTGCATACACTTCTGTGGTTGGTAATATCTTAACGTTATTTTTTTTAAGAATGCTCTAACGCTCACCAAGGCTGCATTTATTTGATCAGAAACACAGTATAAACAGTAATGTTGTGAAATATCATTACAATTTAAAAGCACTGTTTTCTATTTTTAATCGGTTATCGGTATCGGCCAAAATTTTCATATCGGTGCATCCCTACTATTTTTATATATATTTTAGAATGTATTCCTGTGATGGCAAAGCAGCCATTACTCCAGTCTTCAGTGTCACATGATCCTTCAGAAATCATTCTAACATGCTGTTCTGGTGCTCAAGAAACATTTCTTGATAGGATTATCTTATTAAATGTCTTTACTGCCACCTTTTAATGGATTCTTGGTGAATAAAAGTATCAGTTTCTTTAAACAAATCTTACTGACCCCACGCTTTTGAACGGTATTGTCTATTCATTTAGTGTTACCTCATTGGTCGAATCCTCCAAACAGCCAATCAGGACAAGCATCTTTGACTTTGAGAAGAAATCCCACTTTCCCCTCTCTTTAGCCCAGTTTATAAGAGTAGACATATTGGCTAAAAGAAAAAAAAATCAATCTCTGATATCATTTTATTATATTTAGCATTAGCAATGAACATAAAATAATCCATTTGAAGTTAAAGATAAAAAATAATAGACAATTCATAATATGTATTCCAAGGTACTTCAAAGGATACCATGGTGCATGCCGAAAACATGATATATAACCATGGTATGCTTTTGTAAGTGTTGTTTTATTACCAGGTGGTTGTCCCTTCTTTCTGTCTGGACTCCAGGTGTCTGTACATGTTTCCAGCACTGCAGACAGCAGGAGCAGGACAGTCTTCTTCCTCTGGTAGCTGCTGTCAGGAGTCAAATAGACCACTGACAGCTGGAAGAGCCAGTCAACAAACTCTGAGGGAAAATATCATGATCATGAATATAAAATATCAAAATATCTTGATCTTACCAATAAAGCCATTTTATTATATTCTATTGATTAAAAGGCTTCATATATTCAAATGTTTACAAAAATGTGATTATTAAAACACACAAACTTTGACAACGTCACTAAAAACTAAAAACTTGCATCCATGCCAATAGATGGCAGTAGTCAAAGACTATCATCATATTGGTCATTTAGAAAGACAAGTGAGTGCCAGCAAAACATAATAAAAAAATTACTTGTGCACCTTTAAAATAATGTTGAAATCAACTGTAAAAATATATAACATGAATTTTAATTTCTAAACTCCTCACCGACTCCTTGTTTAAGCTCCGCCTCCTCTTCCTCCGTGAGCCCTTTTTTACCATTATGGCCTTTGATGCTGGCCATGCAACTGTCTCTTATTCTCATCAAGAACTTCCTCAGCACTGCCTGAAAGTGCTGGCGGAAAGGTGACGATTCACTGTTGAGATTGAGCGGGAGGAAGTCTCTCAGAGCGGAATACTCCACTTGTGATGGGGCTTCTTTGGTCTTTGGACTGCAGCAGAGGAGGTTCAGAGCTGCAAGCCGGATGCTGTCATCCAAAGAGGAGAGGGCAATATGGAGAGTCTTAAGAGCATGGGGGCTGTCCACACTCCAGAGGGAATGTCCACTTGTGGCCCGCTGGGCGTTCATGACACAAGCCCACGCGTGAAGGTGACCGGGAACCGCGGGGTCCAGAGCTGACAACAGAGTGTTAACAGCACCTGGAAATATTCGTAGTGTTGAGGGCAGAAGATGGCTAGAGGCGTTATTTTGAAGAAGAGTTAATTCTGAAGTCAAAGCCTCCAGAATGACTGGTTGCCACCTCCGAGCCCATTGATTGGCTGAGTCTTGTTCAGTGGGTGGAGCTTCTTGGGATGCATTTATAATAAGCTCGCGTTTCTGTTCCTGAAGGAGGGATCTGTAGACTTCTGAGGCACATGGAGAAAGGTGATTGGTGGAGAGGCATTTTAGGATGTGAGAGGAAAGAGCTGGATACAGTTCCAAAACCTTTTAGGAGGAGAAACTATATTTTATTTTACATTTACTTAAAATGACTTTTATAATGTACTGATGCTAATAAGGCTCTCAGAAAGCTAAAATAAAGTTTATTTTCCAAATCATGTAGTATTTAATAAATATATAAATTATTTTATCATTTTAAATTATTGCTTTTATTTTTACATTTATATTAAATAAAATGTATGCTATAATTTATATTAGAATAAATGTATACATTCTTAGAATTCTTGATACAATTGTTCAAAAAATAAATGTATTTATTAGTTATACATTCAATATTATTTATAGTATTCATATTATATTATTAATAATAACATGGTAGATATAACATTTATTTTAAAAAGGAGGAAGAATGTACAAGCGTGTCTGGTCACTCCTCTTACCTTGTCTGTTCCTGCATATGGCAGAAGTGCAGTAAGCGGTAAATACTTTGCTTTGGATTCCCAAGGCAGTTCTGATATACTGTTCAATAATTCCACATAAAGTCTTTTATCTGTGTTCTCAAAGTGCAGACAATCCTTGTCATAGATCTCCATAAACAGACAGAAAGCACTGCGTGCCACCTCTGCAACACCATCCAACTACAATAAAAGTAATGAACAAAAATACCAGCTGAGTGGATGTGTTCTTGTAGTTAACTTTGGTTAAATGTCCGGTTTTATCATTTAATATGGATTTTCTCAAGAAAGTATGGGTGGTTCTTGCCCGTACAAAACATTTTCTTAAGAAAGTATGAGTGGTTCTTGCCTGTACAAAACTGCTAGGGAGTTCTGAGTGGTTTTAAAACACGGCCCAAGGAGAAATAGCCCATCTTACTCCATACTTAGTGTTCAAACCCACATACTTTAAACAGGGTTCCCACTCTTTCATGTACACCAGATTCAAAGACTTTCAAGGACTTTTTAAAGCACCATTTATTTTATATCAAGCACCTATCAAATTCACACCCCAGCATATATAGCATCATGAAAGACCTCTTACAGTTCTTAACATTTCACTTACACTTAACATTTACATTAAACATTTCAGAGTAATGAGGTTTTGAATGCGTAGTTTTCATAAATTTAGACCATTTTGAGCAGTCGTGTTCAAAATAATTTAATTAAATCCATTGAAGTCAATGGAGTTCACACTGGTAATATTCAAATACAATTTCTCAAAAATATTGATAAAAATAGATATTCTTGCATCAAACTGGTTTTTGCTGTAATTCTTGTAAAAGATTTAAATTTGAAAGAATTTCTCAATTTTTAAATTAATAAAAAGTGGTTAAACAGGGCTCTACACTTTCTTTTCTTTTGAAAAAAAATAATAATTAGGAGCGCAGTCAAAAATTTCAGGAGCACCTTCTAATCAATAATCAAAAATTCTGATCAATATTAGCCTTCCCATTACGAGATGATATTTGACTTAAAGTGATTTACAAGGAATTTTGTTTTTACACCTTTGTAATGGCATTTTTTTAACTGTATTAAAAGTATGTCATATTTTATGTCAAATTCAAAAAATTATATTTATAAGGTTTTTAAAACTTGTAATTAAAACAACAGAATAAAATCAAGAGGGCTTAAATCTTTCTTTTCTTTTGAAATCAATAATCGAAAATTCTGATCAATATTAGCCTTCCCATTACGAGATGATATTTGACTTAAAGTGATTTACAAGGAATTTTGTTTTTACACCTTTGTAATGGCATTTTTTTAACTGTATTAAAAGTATGTCATATTTTATGTCAAATTCAAAAAATTATATTTATAAGGTTTTTAAAACTTGTAATTAAAACAACAGAATAAAATCAAGTAGAATAAGATTAAGTTACCAAAAAAACGCAAGTTCATTCATAAATGAAACACCACTGTGTTTGGTTGGAGATGCGCAGCGGCTCAGCTGTGACTTTGTTTGAAACTATTTTTGTTGACGAAATAGAGCAAAATCAGGCAATAGTGTTGTAGTCAGACAATGTAAGTCACTTAATATTCATTTCTTGTTTATTGAAGTGTTGTATTAAATCAATATCACATTTGCAAACTCCCTTAATAATCATTAAAAGCGGTCACTCACCTTAGTTCATCGCGATCTCACAAAGTTCCATTATAATCGACGACGCTCCCTACACTGCACAATGAATCTCGTATTTACACCGTCTACACTTTGTTTGTTATAACGAGAGGATTCGTGAGTTTGCAGAACTCAGCACTGAACAAAACGGCGTTTTGAGCAGTGAGTGGATTCTGATTATTGTGTTCAAGGAATCAACAGATATGTCTGT